TCTATTTATATCAATCTATTTACTATCTCAATGCATTCATTCTCAATATATTTATCTGAATCCATTCAGTATCTATCTATCTATCTATCTATCTATCTTGGTCTTGCAAGCGTACCAGAATACAAAAGCTGGCTGGCCTGATATTGTATTCTGGTACACTTTCAAGGCATTTAAACGACTAGTGTGTCTATTTAAAATTATATCTTGGTCAGCCTTTTTCTTGCCGGTCTACCTATGTTAATATGTTCCTATCTACCTGTCCATATGTCTGAGATTTTTTTATATTTATTACACGATCATCAAATCTTTATCACACTGGCTGCTGCTGGCAGTAGAAGGTGAATGAAAATGACCATCATGTATAAGTAACTAGGGATATCTCTTCCACTGACCCAGACATTTTGTTGCAGAAATGAAAATTCATTATCAAATATATATATATATATATATATATATATATATATATATATATATATATATATATATATTATGACAGTTTTTTTATATACAAAAAACCCTTTCAGGAAAAAAAAAATAAAATAATAAAATAAATAAATCTCCATAGACACTTAACTAGAGTAGACGAAATCATATTCCACTTTGAATTTAGACACCCCAACCTTACCCTGACTTGACCTCTTTGAATGTAACTGAGATATTGATACAAATTATTAACCCTTACGCCCTTTTTCTAAAATAATTCCTCTGTCCGTTACCATAGTAATTTTAATTTTCATAATGAATGTGCTTATAAAACGCGTAAAGTTCAAGAATTAGTTATTCCAAAAAAACATTTCGCTTGAAGATGTATCAGAGCTTGGTACTTTAATTCAGTTTAATTCAAATAATTATTTGGAAGTTTTCGGCTTTTGTTTTGAAACATGAGTACTCTTATGTAGCGATGGAATCATATTTTTAAATAAGTAATTATATATATATATATATGTATATATTTGTGTGAATGTGTGCATGTATATATATATGTCTGTGTGTGTGAGTGTGTGCGTGTATTACAATGAATCATTCATACAAAAAGTGGATTAGTACAATTAATGACATAAAATGGCGCAAATCTTTTCGCTAACAAAATTCTGAAGGTGCATTAATCTAAAAATCACTCGATGAATGTTATGATGCTTGGTTTAAAATTATTAACTGTATAAAGGTTCTTCGTAAGTTCTCGATTAAATTTTCAAACAAACATCAACTTTAGCGTTGCGAATGTACTCTCCAAAAGGTTGTATCCGTTAACAATAACAGATAAAAAAAAAATAATACATATTTCGATTCGAATTTAATTTTTTCGTCTCGGATTCTACCTGAATTTTACCTATAAAAAAAAAAAAAAAAAGTACATGTCTGATGATGACTGAATGCACAGTTGAAAGTACTTGCAAAAACCTTATACAGTTTATAATTTTAACAACAAGGATCGTAACGGTCATCGAGTGATTTGTAGGTTAATGTACCTTTAAATGTTTGTTTGCGAGAGGATTTCGCCATTTTATATCATTAACTGTACTAATCTACTTTTTATGTATGAATGATTCAGCATAATATAAATTGAACTGCACTACATATTTGATATATATATATATATATATATATATATATATATATATATATATATATATATATATATATATAGATACACCTAGCCAGACAAACCTACCTAGGTTTCACCTAAACGGATCGTCAGGGAAATCACGTGGCATGATTTTAGTTATCACCTATAAATATGTGTTTCTCTTTTGCCTCGTTAGCCAAGCTTTCCCTGACGATCCGTTTAGGTGAAACCTAGGTAGGTTTGTCTGGCTCACTAGGTGTATCTAGGTCTGCTCTACGGTTGTATTGAGCTCTTTTGTTAGTTAGTTGTTACTCGTATCGGGGTTTTTCTTTGGGCTTCAGACCTGCATCTGTGCGATTTTTTTGTCGGCAGAAGTTCATGTTTGTAGCTCTTTCTTTTTTTAAAACCTTTTTTTTCCCTCGAAATTGATTTGATTAACAAATCAAAAATTCGAGGGTTTTTCAAAACGAGTCTAGTTATCTATATATATATATATATATATATATATATATATATATATATATATATATATATATTTTATTTTTTGTTTAAACAAAAATATTATTATAATAAAGCTCTACTTCTGTATGGAGCACTGTCTTCTTATAAATAAAACAAAATACTAAGGAACTCCGGATTATGCAATCTAACGTGTTCTTTTCTATTTTCTGCATACCTGCGCACTATATATATATATATATATATATATATATATATATATATATATATATATATATATATATATATATATACTGATAGATAGATACGCAAAAAGAGCAGAGAAAATGAGATGTTATAGAATTTTCTGGATACTTGTCATAGAATGGTGAAACTCATGAGGCACTTGGAAACGTTATTGTCTCTTATGCCCAACCTCCATGAAATATTTATTCCAATGAAATGTGACAATTCGAACAAATATTTCCAATCTTTAATGAAATATTCTCTGGGGTCGATAATTGAATTCCTTTTCTTGCTTGTCAATATTTTATGAACCTTTTTTCTTTCTTTTGTAAATTTTGTCATCCCCGTGAACACAACAAAAACTTCAGTTCATTTTTTTAAAGGTGTTATGCTACCTTCTCTTCTTAGCCCCCATTTTTTTTTCACCATTGATGTTTTTTTTTTTATTTTTATTTGTTATTTTACAATATTTTTGTTTCTTCTTTCTGCTTTTCAGTGATCTCCCTTGCGTGCATTTCGTTAGGTGATTGGCTATCGATCGATGGCAATGATAAAAGCGAGCCAATTAAAACGCATTCCATTTTTGCATTTTAGAGTGTGAGATTTTGCTGAAATATTCATGACGAAGCGAATGCAGTTACTATAGCAACGTTTCATGGTAAATCGGCGGGAAAAACTGTCCGGGAGGGCTTCATTGAATTAAGAAAAGAGACAACATAAGCAATTACAAAAAAGACTGAGAACAGAACTAGTTGGAATAAAATATAAGTAGTCAAAAACGAAGAAAATTAGAAAAAGGGGAAAAAAAGAAAAGATGAAGACAGTAAAGAGCAAAAAAATAAAATAAAAAGATATTTAAGGAAAAGTGGAAGCGAAAGAAAATGAAAGAAAAAGATTAAGATGAAGAGAGACTAAACTCAAAGAGAAGCCAAAAAGAAGGGAATTATTTTTTTTAATAATGAAAGAAAGAGAAAAAAGAACTTAAAATAGGAAGAAATATAAAAGAAGAAAACATTTTACGAAAAAAAAATGTGAATTTTTCTTCAGTTCTCTTGACAGTTTATTTCCTATCTTTATCGGAATTAAGATTTCTATATTTGTCGGACTTATACTTACCGATTTAAATCAGAATTTCCATTCCAAAACAGTATTTTTTATTTCGATTAATTCTTCTTCTCAGCATGTGAAATTCCTTTGTTGGGCGTAGGCATTCCACAGATCATGACGAGGACGCGCGGTCATTACCCTACCTCGCACGTCTCTTTTCTTGATTACCCACTCGCCCAGGTGAATGTAATTTGAAGTCAACTACACTATTTCGCATTCCGAGCCGCCATCTATTGCGCCACCCGCACATCCAAGTTGATATTTCCAAGCCATCATCCATGTCGGTACTGACCAACCACATGGATGCTTAACTAAGGTAATTTGACGGGTACCGGTATTTGAACGTGATATGGCCGTGAGCATCATCCGATTAAATATAAACATGAAATAACAACACGATTTCAACAGGTGGCAGATGATTATAGATAAAATACCATGGTTCTATGATTGTAACTAAGAAAAAGCAATACTGAAATTTTGTATTTTTTATTTGACAGTCATAAACACACGTAAGCAATGAGGAGATTTGAAGGTCAGTAAGGATTTGATAAATTCTTTCTTTTTCATATTTCACAATCTTATTGCCCAACCCAGGGTACGGTTAGTCCTGACTTAGTGGTAGTCATTTAAAGCCATTGACAAAAAAAACAAAAAACTAAAAAAACGTAATTTTCAAAAGTGTTAGATATGATCTGAGTGAATGAGATATATTTAGATAGATCATAATAGAATCTTATTGGCCTTATGAAGAAACCTCATGGGTAAAATGATTTCTCATAATTTTCAGGTATTTTGTTTTTGTAAGGAGGATAGGTATACACCTTCAAGGCCTAACCTATTTATTTGTTTAATGAATTAAGGAAATAAAATACACACAGATAAACACACACACACACATACACACACACACACACACACACACATATATATATATATATATATATATATATATATAGATGTCAAGATTCTTTGCCGATTACGAAGGATGAGAGACTTAGAGTACAGTTCTAAAAAGCTGGGCTGTCGACTACTTAAACATGATTTAATGATAAAAACGAGAGCGAACTAGCAATATATATATATATATATATATATATATATATATATATATATATATATAAGTCAACATTGAAGTCAACACTTAGAGGCGAGAGACTGTTTCATGCTCGACGCAATCATCAGAGTGCACTTTATCCCATAAATATAGTACACCTTTAGACTATATTTCTTCATATATATATATATATATATATATATATATATATATATATATATATATATATATATATGTATTTGTTGGGGGTCTGATAACAGAGAAATAGTGCACTGTTTTTTTTTTTTTTTTGTTTTTTTTAAGCGTTTCACTCCAAGCAAGGCGGGAAGCCACTAGGATGCAAGGGGTTACAGGAAATAGCAAGATCAGATAGGAGTGATAGAAGAAAGGATGAGGGTAGTGGATAGATTAAGGCAACTGGAGATGTCGATTGACATTACATTTGAATAGCTGGAGATTATAGCTCACAGGGCTTGCAATCCTCCTCACCTAATGTATTCAAAGTTGTGCTTTTCTCACGCTGCCTCTCAACTAAGGCTAATATGCCCAGTATGTCGTCGTCTCTTTCCTAAGGGTATTTGCACATAAGAACTCAACTCGAGCGTAATTCGAATATATAATTATTCAGGTGGTATAAAGATCTGTGGTTTGGTACGAGGTAATAGAGATCCGAATTGTGGCGGGGAGCGAATGAATCGCCGATAATCGGAATATGTTACAAGCAATCCTGTGTTGCAACTGTTCTGAATAGTTTTAGGACGAAAAAGAAGGATCTTAACGTTTGGTCAGATTCTGAGAAGTAGATAGCTCTAAAAAAACTTTAGCAACGACTAACATTTTCTTTTCTTGCACTTCCTGCTTGTTGAAATCCTTTCCGTTTCCTTGCTCCTCTGATAATCACAATCCTCAAAAATATATAGCTAAAGTAAATCTTTACCTTCTATCTTCTTGAACCCCGTACAGTTTTATCGTTTACTTGTACACTATATCCAGTGTTTCTCTCGCCTTTAGTAACCCCTCTGCGTACTAGTCGCATTCCACACTTTTCGGGGGTGAAATGATTAAAAAAGAAAAGAAAAAAAGAAAATGTATACATATATGCACGGACACGCACATATACATACATATATACTGTTGCAACATAGGGAAGGTTACTGAATAAAATAATCAAACGAAGGTTGGTAATGGACGATAATACTTAGGACAAGAACAACACATATAAGATTCGTGTAGAAGAAGTAGTTAACTGCTAGAAGTAAGTTAAGTGAATTCCACAATGAATCTCTAACTGCAGGATATGTACCAACGACTCCACGCGGTCAGATGTGGTTCAAAGCCGAATTTCATGTGGAGTATCCGAGGCCGTGGGGCTTGGCCCAAAATTCCCCGTAAACCCCGTATAAAACGGGTTCAGGTAGTCTTTTCCCAACCTGCTCTTCGACATAGCCTTGTCTGGGGATGCTCTCAGGCTGGAGGTGGAGCGTTTGACCAGCACAACCATGTGACCCAGTGGATAAAGACGTCGGTTGGATCCAGTGACTAGAACCAAAGGTTTGTGAGTTCAATACCAGGGTACAGGAATGTTGAAAAAAACTAAAAAAAAAAAAAAAAAAAAAAAAACTTGGAGAGTTGAGTAAAAGGGAAATAACTGAGACATGCGGAAGAGGCATAGCACGTGGAACTAGAACAATCTACCCCGGTGGATGAAATAAAGGGTTTGGTTCGAAATTACAGTCACCTGAAGAAGGCCGGGGAGTACAACTGCCGAAATATAGTAAATATGACAAAGAAAGATGAGGATAACAGTTAGAACAATGTAAATAATCATAATACCTCATCGCATAGATATAGACAGAGATTGTTTATTCAAGTAGGAAGATTTTTCGTTTGGTTTCGCAGTTTGGCCACCTTATTGGTGTTTGTCTAAATTATGATACATTATCTGGGTTGTATATAGTGCATCTATTTGAAATTTTAATGGTGGTATTTTACAAGGTATTCGTTTTTACTTTTTGATTGTTAAGTAACGTAGTAAAAATTGTTTGCTTCGTTGCTTCATATATACTTTCATATTTATATTTACATACGATTATCTCTGATATTGTTCAGTTTCAGCCCATAAATATAGCATACCGTAAACTATAATTTTATCATCTATCTATCTCTCTCTCTCTCTCTCTCTATATATATATATATATATATATATATATATATATATATATAGTAAGTTAGGTTTGTGTCGGTCTGTGTGTATAAATAGTTAGATAGATAGTGGAGAGAAAGAAAAGTATGCGCCATTAGCTGATATATACTTACAAAAATCTGGAGTTTCTATCGTTCAATATTTAGTGATCACAATAACAAAAGTAAAGAAAGTTGTCGGTGCAGTTAAAAGAAAAATGACGGAACTTCTCAGCATGTCCCCAGACAACAATGGGTATACTGTATATCGTACCGGGTGAAAGTAAATGGTCAAAACAACAAACGCAATGATGCTACTCTTAATAAATCATCAAGAAATGACAAAACAGTATCGCAAGACGTCTGTCCTCTCACCGGGATTTGTTTAAACAAAACCTCAGAATCCTTGATAAACCGATCGAAACTTTGTCTAAAAGAAATACAAAGGTATGAATTATCAACAATAATAAGACTGATCTCTTGTTTTATATGCTTACTCTCTTCCAGATTTTATTTTTTTTATTGCCTTTCTCCTCCGAATTTATTTTATTAATCATAGTTCAGGTCAAGGAGTCGATAATGATGCCGCCACGAGAATTAAAACCAGCATATCATTATACAGTGTTTACTTATACTAATTGGCTTCATATTCATACTCATTGACTTCATATCCCATTAGCAGAGAGGAAGTTCCACTCTGACATCTCTATCCCGAGAAGCGGTACTTTATGAAAGATTTATGAAAGGATGCATCCACGATCACTAGTGTCAACTGTTAGAATTTTTGGGTACTTTGGTGTACTAGTGAGCTAGCCAAAATGAGCTGACTCATTTTATAGTTCACCAATAGAAGGGTTAACCAATCAGAATGCTCAAAATATGCAATGCGACGTGTATAATGGCGGCCATGTTTTTTTTCCGAATATTCACTGTCAGCCATTGATATCGAAGACTGAAGAATTACAGTACAGCGTCTGATGGTATTGGCGATATAGGCGGATTCAGTTGAGTGTCTGACTCGTGAGTATTAATCTTTAACGTTGTTTCAGTGAACAGATTACGTACTGCGCTGTATTCTATATTCATAGACTATGGCGAACATGGTCAACATCAACCTCTTCAGGTTTATCTCTAAAAGGTTATATATCCTACATATCTTCCTATTATTCTCTCCTTAACTTCTTCTCCTACGACCTTACAGAACACTCTACCACGAGTGTTTCTTTGACCCCCTATTTGGTAATGGAGAATATTAAATAGGTTATTTTTTAGCATGGCGCTTATAAGCTTGAGAAGGATTAGAATAGTCACGAAAATTAAATCTGGCTGAATTCGCGCGAACCAGACTCGCAACACGTCCCAACATTTTGCTTAAATGTGCCGCAACCCATCGCTTTCTATCGGTTCTGATCTTCACTTTGAACTGATGCCTATGGGTTCCAATAAGGTCTTGATAAGTATAGTCTTCTTTTCATGAGTTCCTTGATATGTTTTGAAATCTACAAACATAATGGTAAACGGAGATGAGGTCAGATTAACTTGCCATCCTATGACGTAATGTCCTTGTTGGAAATGTTTCTGATTGGTTCGTGGGCATATCATTTCATTGCGTTTTTTGTCATCACAACAAGAGAAAGAAATTTAAATTTCAACAAAGTAACTATAAACAAAATGTTTTTTTGCTATCCTCTGACAGCCGCAATGATGGAGAAAGCATTGCCAGTGAGACACGCTTCAAGAGCCACTCCATTTCTCAAGGCTCGTCTCTTAATCGAGGCACCATCCCGCCATTTCTTCCAAAGGAAAACCAACGAACGAGGGCCAGTAACCACAGAAATCTTTAATGCCACATGTGTAAAAAAATATCCACCAGCAAACGAAGAATATTTACTATATTTTTTTTTATCTCTGCGTCCTGGGTGACGGATCCTGGCTCAACCACGGACCTGATCAAATTACCGATCGAAAATATATCCGCACAAGTTGCACCCCAAATCAACGACTTCCCCATCTTAAAAGGAAAAATGGTAATGCCATACGGACGCTTTTCATCACCAGAGTTGAGGCCTACGGGTTCGATTTTGGAAGGGAACCCAGCTGCGTCCAGACCTCTCCTGAGGATGTCGTTTATTGCTGCATGCCTTGGAAAGCAGTCGGTACTACGACGGCAGGAGAGAGGATGCAAACCGAACCCGTCAATGGAAGCTCCAAATCTGCATCTGTGATACTCACATAATTTAATCCCAAGACGGATCGTGCACTCATCATCTAGAAGGGTACCGGTAGATGAAGGGCGCATTGCGTTGAGCCAGGAGCTACTAATCGGTTTTGAAGTAGATAGCAGACAGGCAAGGCAAGGCGATGCTGATCCAGAAGGAGCCTCAAATTAGCAAAATTGATCTCGCATTTTTTTTATCCCAGTTTTTTTGTTTTGATGTGTCTAGTGGAATAGAGTGTAATTTTTGGGCCCAGACGCTGCAAGCTTGTTCAAAAGAACTCCCCGAGAAACACTGAGACGATCCACAGAGTATTTCATCAATTAATTCTCGACTTTAGGAGAAAGTGAAGAAAGATATGCTGGAAGGGCCAAGTCTGTCGCTGATCGAAGGCCCAGCCCTCCGAAACTCAAAGGGAGATTTACCTGCCTCCAACCTGTGTCGTCGAAATTAACGTTGCAAATTAACTCCGCGCATCTCTTAATTGTGATATCTATCTCATTTAAGAAATCCTGTTCAAGGTAGCAAGGGGCACTTCGGGGAGTGTAGAGGAACCTCGGTAGAGAAAAACTCAAATTTCTAACTCCCATTAAAGTTCTATTTTAATCATATTTATTATAAAACCCAGGTTGTGTGTTTATGTGTGTGTGTGTGTGTGTGTGTGTGTGTGTACGTTTATATATTGGATCGGATTTCCTACATTTTTCAACCGATTTCGACAAAACTTCACAGGACTACGAAAATTACCTTGTGGTGTTTCTGACAGTGCCAAAAATTGGGAAAACACAATTGTTTTTGCACAAAATCAGTTTGAAAACACGATTAAGGCATCACGAGAATGAAAGGGGGACAACGCATATCGAGTTATACTTATTATAAAAACACAGGTTGTGTGTGTGTCTGTTACGTTTATATATTGGATCGTATTTCCTACATTTTTCAACCGATTTCAACAAAACTTCACTTTTTCGGCAGGTAGTGTTTCTTATTGTTTTGCACACTTTTTTCTTTATTTTTACATTCAGAATGCTTTAAAAATTCCATTTGCAAGACAATTGTTTATAATAAAATTCTATTCAATCGGAAGACTCATAACGATTGAAACAATGTTTTTGTTTGAGTTTGGGTTTGACCAATTCGTAAAAAAAAAAACTAAAAAAAAAAAAAAAAACTAATTAAGACATGCGTGTCCGTCAACCTTAAACAATAATCTCTGTCAATTTTATTTTTCAGTCTTTATGATGGTCGATACTTGATCTATCTCTTACTGTTACATCCCCGGGCAACGCCGGGCTCTACTGCTAGTTATGGAATAAAGATCAAACTTGAGAATTTGCTACTTATGACAAATTTTATCTGAAATTACAGATTGGTATTTAAAGTGGGACAGTGTAATTTGTTTTTAGACTTTTCAAAAAAGTAATTGCAAATTAATCCATCCCGACCAAGTATCTCGATTTCATTTACTTTCGTACAGACGTGACGTGGCTACCCTCTGTCATTTCTACAAATATTTTCATGGCTACTGTTCTGATGAGTTGTTTCCCTAATTGCTCGACTACATGAATTTAAGCTTGCTTCTAGTTTGGCAACTAGGTCGCACTGTTTTAGTGTTGAACAAGATGCAACCCTATTTCTATTTCAATAGCTTCTTTTCTCAAACTTCTCACATCTGGAAATACTTACCGATTCTTTGCTTCCATGATAACTGCGAGCTCAAAAAATTCAAATGCCAAATCAACTGTCATCTTTTATCTTCCTAAAGCCTGTTTTCGTCATTGTGCTTTCTACATTCCACTTCACTCATGTTTTCTCATTCTCTTTCACTCTATGTAACCTTCTGCGTCTTAGTGGAATTATTGCCTTGCTTCGGGTGAAATGATTAAAGAAACTATATTAACAAAGCATTCTTTGTGAAGTTGTTGGATTTTTTGCTTGTTTTGTTTTTCTTTATTGTCCTCACGTCTCTTTCCTTGTTTTTTGTTCATTCCTCTGAATGGAACAATAATTTTATTATCAGCATTGGTATTTTTACTCTATTCATTATTCTTTTTTGTCTCCCAGTGTTACACCATCTTCAGGTTATTGCCCTTTTTTAGTTACTCCTCAGAATTTAAATCTCTTGCTAAATATTTTCAAGTTGTTTTCAATTACATATCTATTCAATTATATATCTATCCAGTTTCCTTTTATTTGTATTAATTCGTCAATGTTCCTTCGCTTGTTTCTTTTTCTTTTTTTCTTTTTAATTTTCTTGCCTTTCGCCTTCCGTTTATTTTCGTTTTGGAATCTTATTCGTCCATTTTTTTTACTGCCTTTCTTTGTCTTTTATTTCCTTTTTCCTTTTTCTACTATTCTTGTCTTTTCTTCCATTGTTTTTTTTTATTATTTCTATCATTGTTTTATTTTACTTTTGGGAACACTTAATCTTTTTTCCATTCCGATGCCAGTGCAAATATGAGGACGGGGTGCCATGATGATGATATAGTTATACATAGTCGGTACAAGCATGATCTTGAAAAAAAACATTCAACATCATTTACCTAGTGTTCCAAAAAGTAGAAGTCACGATTAACATTTCCAAACAGAAACTATGATCAGTAATTGAAAGGAAAACTGCGATGACACGTACACTGAATCCATAATTAGTAAATATTACAAAATTCATATTAATATTAAACACAGGAACCTCTTCTCGCCATTATTAAGCGTCGGATGATGTCATGATTTTGCTACGGCAGACAGTATAACAGGCTCTGCAAGACAATCATGCAAGCAGATTTGAAAGAAGACGGCCACACAAACAGACATCATTAAACAGTGAACGGACATTACAATGCCAGTAAAAATGTTTTTGTAGGTAAAATCTCTGACTTGTTTTCATACTATTGACCAAGTAAGGTTAATGGTGTGTTGTTTTTCTGGCTAAGTTATACGCGGAGGAAATACGTTCGTGGTGAGTTTACAGCTTGGAGTAGAATATACTATTTTCATTAAGGTATTAAAAGACAATCTAGGTCTGTTGATAAGTCGATTAATAAATCATCTTAATGACAATTATAATGCCGAGGAAAACATTTTCCATACAGAAGAAATTCATTATTCATTGAGCGAACAGTTAGCGTTAATTTTTTCATAAATATATTCGCTTCAAGCAAAGCAGCAATGCCACTAAGACGCAAAAGGCTACTGTCAGTGAAAAGAATTAAACTATTTTAGAAGAAACCGCAGACCCAAATTTAAACAGAGAACAAAGGGTAGATCTATACGCCTGTTCAAAAACTGGAGAGGTCTGAAAACCGGGCGGTAGGCCAAAATATCTACTGCTATTTTGGAGAAAAAATGAATAAAAAATATATATAAATGATTAGAAAATAAAATTTCATTTCATAGCGGGGACGTCAGAAGTAGAGAGTTTAGAAGGAACCGGAAACCCAATCCTAAACAGGAAACAAAAGATAAACATCTACACCTGTTATAAAAAAAATAAAATAAAAAAAACTGGTAAAAAGGAGTGTAAAATGAGTGATAGGCGAACTCCTATTGATAATAAGATATGCATAATTAGTAAATAAAATTTCATAGTACAAACGGAGGCGTTAGAATTATAGAATTGAAGCAGATGTTAGAAGTAACTTTAAATCTTCTAAAGTCTATTTTCACTTTATACTATTAACGTCTACTTCAGTACACTCAGTGTTCATAAAAAATTCTCTTAAAATATCAAGTCATCCAATAAGTTCTGTCCGAATTTTGAATAAAGAAAACGAGTGACCAAATGTTACATTTAATTACAGATTCAATCAACAATGTATTTTCCCTGATTATCTATGGCTTCCTTCCATCTATTAACAAGCTTACTAATTCCATTACTGTAAGATTCTTTTGGCTTTGATTCGAAGAACTCACAAATGTCAGTTTTAACCTCTTCCTGTGTTACAAAAGCTGTTTCTTCCAAATGATTCTGTAAGCTACGAAACAAATGGTAGTCTGAAGGAGCAAAATCGGGAGAATAAGATGGATGAGGAATTTTCTCCAAACCAAGTTCTTCGATCTTTTGTAACGTGATTCTTGCTGTGTGGGGTCGCGCATTGTCCTGATGAAACATCACCCCTTTTCGATTCACTAGAGCAGGTCTTTTTTCGCCTCAAAGCTTGGTTCAAACGCTCTAAATGCTGACAGTATATTTGAGCATTAATTGTTGAATTAGGTGGTAAGAATTCAAAGTATATTATTCCTTGGCGGTCCCACCAGATTGAAAGAAGAACCTTTTGCCCATGAAGTTCCCTTCTCGACTGTCGCTGGAATCCTTCCCCTTTACCAAGCCACTGTCTACGACGCTTAACATTTCGATAAAAAATCTATTTTTCGTCGACAGTCACAAGTCTATCCAAAAAAAAGTGAAACAAGTTGGCTAGAATGGAGAGAAGAGCAGATGTCAACTCGGGATTTGAGGTTGTTTTCAGACAATTCATGACGCACCCATTTTCCAACTTTAGGAACTTTTCCAAGTTGCTGAAGATGACGATGAACAGTTGTATGGTTTGAACTGCGAACCACTGCCAATTCCTCAACTGATAAAGCAGGATTTTCTTCAAGGGCTGCTTCAAGAAGCTTTTAATCTAACTCAACTGGACGTCCGGTTCGATCTTCATCTTCAAGGGTGAAATCTCCACCTCTGAATTTTGCAAACCATCTTCTGCAAGTTCTTTCATTTACACATTCCTTTCCATAGACTGAGTGAATGTTTCTAGCCGCTTCGGCTGCTGAGTTTCTTTTCTTGAACTCATAAAGCATTATGTGCCTCAAATGATTCTTGGTTACTTCCATGTTAGCGCAGGGTTTTAATCAAACAAAATTTAATTATATTGTTCTCTGAAATAAAATTTGATCAGTTTAAATGCATCTAAACATAAAAAAAATAATGTTCAGCTCAATTAGACATTATAAAATACTCTTTTAATTTCGTTCATTTTAACAAAAAAGTTAAAATTCGGACAGAACTTATGGGATGACTTGATACATTTCAGCAACATAGGCTTCTCATGTCCATTAACAGTTATCTTTTCTTTCCAGTATTGTCTAATGAATCGGGGAGGTCAATATATTGATTCTGTCAATAATTTCACTTCCAATATTTGCCGTTCTCTGTTAGAAATCTTCAAGATATGCGTTTTTTATTAATACGTAACGATCATTGCGATTATATAGAGCCAGAAATCTGATGACGAATTCTGAGGATGAATTCTGAACTGTTTGAGGTTTCAGTCACTTGCAGACATTTTTCATCACTAATCAGAGAAAACAGTTCTATGTAGGTGATAATTCAGAGATTTTTGAACGAGTTTCACAGAAGGAACATCCTACCCACAACCATATTAGATTCTAGATCTGAAAAGGCGATTTAAGATCATGACGAGAGTGATTAGCTTAATATTCTCATTATATATCGTCTTGCTGCGTTGATACAAAACTAGGCCACAAACAAACTATCCTGCGTACACTTCATTTATCATTTATACTAAATTCCTTTTAACTGATCCATTGTATTTGAAATGTATAGAATTAAAAAATTACACAATATATCTCTGTACATCTATTGTTCTCTATGTTTTAGTTTGGTCATATCTAAGATTGTTCATATATATATATATATATATATATATATATATAGGTCAGTTCAAGAAAAAACATTTGGGTGACTAACACACAAAAAAGAGAATGTTTGATATCGAAAATTTAACATCGAAAAGCTTAAGAAAAACAATTATTTTAATAATATATAGAAATCTCTACGCTTTGCCTGATGAAGGTCGCAAAACTGGAACATGTGTAGCAAAATTATGGAAAATAAACCATAATAGTTTTTAAAATCCATATGACAACCAAGGCGGTTTCTCTCTCCTTTTATATATATATATATATATATATATATATATATATATATATATATATATATATATATATATATATATATATGTGTGTGTGTGTGTGTGTGTGTGTTAAAATGGATTAAATCCGACCTATTAGTATGCATAATATATATTTTAAAAAAATTAAAAGTATTTTTTCCAGAGGCAAATCTTGTCAGAAAAATTAGCGTCCTCCAGCAGAATTCGAACATGCATCCTCTATGGGGAAACGTCAATAGATATAAAAAGTCGACCACGTAGGACAAACGATCAAACAAAGAAAAATGCTTTTGAACACACACTCTCTGTTGATTGACGAAACATCCATATCTTCTCTGTTTTGGTATCCTAATGAAAAAGACAATTAATTAAATCCGACATATAATTATACTTAATTTATTTGGTTTAATTAAAAACAGAGATTACGATCGATATATATTCATCATATTCATATACTTTATATATATATATATATATATATATATATATATATATGTGTGTGTGTGTGTGTGTGTGTGTGTGTGCGTGTGTGTTTGTGTGTCTGTGATAGAAATTATTAGGAGGATTTGCGATAATCATAATTAAGTAATTCCTCGAGTCTAGAAGAAACCTCAACAGAATGCAGAAAGCACTGGTCGACCGTTTCGTTGTATGTATAATATGTATGTATATGAATGAAATATCAAATATATATACAAATAAATAAATACTTTCATAAAAGAACATTATTATTTGTTTAATTAGCAACTTTTTCTATATATATATATATATATATATATATATATATATATATATATATATATATATATATATGTGTGTGTGTGTGTGTGTGTGTGTGTGTGTATATAACACTTTGAAACATATATTAATTCAGTATATTTTCCTTCGTCAAGTAGAGTGTAGCTGTGTGGTTTCTGAAGCTTAAATTCCACCATTCCTCTAGGGGAGTAGGGCCATTTTACCTTGAATATTATCATTCAAATAAAATCCGTTCAAGATTGCTCCAACTAAAGCCAGTAGACGCAACGGTTAACCTCTTGGCTATTTCTATACACTGACGACCCTCAGCTATATTAATATGTATCTTCTATATTTTCATAAACTCATACTGTGTACTTTTTAAATGGCCTGTAACTCTAATTTAGGAATCGTATTCTTGCCGAAACAAATCGTCTATTTATTGTTTTATAACAAAAATTGTATCAAGAAAACGAGGACAAATGTTTAGCTAAGGCTCTGAAAATCAAATGTAATACAGGCAAAAACTGGAAAAGAAGAAAAGAAAAAAAAGAATGATTTATTACTTACCAATGTGCAATGAAAAAAAAATCAACTCTCCCCTATTTATTTTATTATTTTTATTTGCTCTTAGATAATCTGCAAAGAGGTAATCATTCCTTGAACGTTGATTGGTCAACGGTTTTGCCTGTTTGCCCATGTTCGTTTACTTTTTATTATTACATTCCGGAATAACCTAATCACAATATCGTCTATTTAGTTTGCTTTACTTTTATTTATCCTGATTTTTGTTCGCTTTCATTGCCAGATTCATTTACAAGAGTTTGATTGAAAAGAATATTTTTTTATACTTTCTATTTTCATTCTTCGTTGTTTTTTGTCTGCTTTCTGCTGACCCTCTCCATCCTTTCTTCTTCTTCTTCTTCTTCTTCTTCTTCTTCTTCTTCCTCCTCCTCCTCCTCCTCCTCCTCCTCCTCCTCCTCCGCATAATCTATTTTTCTTTTATACTTTTATTATGTCTCTTCTTTTTACTAATATCTCAGATTAAAAAAAAAAAGTTTTGTGTAACTTTTTACTTCTTTCTAACTTTCTTTTTCTTTTGTCTAAGAAAATAGAAATCGGATGAGAGAAATTATTCCTACATTCGTTCTTCAATTATTCGTCTTTCCGTCCTTTTCTTGTTTCTTCCTTTTCGCTTATTGCTCTTTTATAGTTCGCTTCTTATTTCCCTTATAATTGTCTTATTCTCTTTTGTTTAGTCCTAAACCTCCTTCATCCCATCTTTTTCTTTTCACATTTTCCTGCTTCTTCTTCTCCCCCTCCTTCTTATTCTTATGAACAATATAAGTTACCACTGATTTTCCGTTTACCCGACAGCTCTTTTAATCAATAGAACATTAAGAGCAACCTTTAGAAATTCTCGTAATTTTCAGACCATGGCATGTAGTGACCACCAGTAGCGTTTTATTTACTAATTATTTAATATTACTTTCTAAAATTCAACACCGTTGTAGAAGCATACGTACTACATAATCAGTATGTTGTGGTAGGATCCACCTAATTTGCATAGTGGAGTACCGACCATGTAAATATGTTTGATACCGGGAAGAGAGGGAGGAATCAAGAGATTCAACCAGAGACTCTGCCGGACTGCGACTCAGTCAACACATTCTCCAGGAACGATCTTACCAGGAATATACAAAAGACTAAATGTAAATATTGTGTACACTTTCTTGTTTCAATACATTTTGTTCTAAGTACATTTTGTGTTGCATTATTGTTCCATGCCTTAGTCAAGTTTCAACACAGTATGACAAATTGTAAAAAAATTTCGTTTAGGGCGTTTTGTCCTGTAGGATTTCATCGGACTAAAAGGTGAGGCTTACGTTGAGGCAAAAACACATGCCCTCGAAGGAAAGGGGACAATTTTAAATTAATTTTAATTTTCTTTTTAACCGCGTGATGTAGGTACATAGTTTAACTCATTTTATTTTATCTTTATGTTTTTTTTCTCACATTTATTATTAAAAATCCAACATTT